GCACCTGACCAGATATTGTTCATGCTGTTGGTTTGGTCAGCATGTTTTTTTTTTTAAAATCCTAATAAGGATCACTGGTAAGCAGTGAAATTAATTCTTAGATATTTGAGAGTTACTTCTAAGATGTGTTTATATTTTAGAGGCTAAGAATCAATTCTACATAAATATACAGTTGCAGATATGATAAGTGACCTTGATAGCATGAAATATATTTCATGGTATGTGTTTACTTTTATGGGAGGAGCTATATCATGACAATCTAAATTACAAAGTGTGTTGCTTTATCTACAATTGAGACAAAGTACATACCTATGAATTAAACAGGTAAAGAAATGATTGGATGAAAATATTTCTCAAAGAGTTGAGTTTGAAACAAGATAAATATGTAATGAATTGTGATAATTAAAGTGCTCTAAATTTGAACGAGAATGCCATATATCATTGTCGAAGTAAGTATATTGATATGAGATATAATTGGATTTATAAAGTGGTGAATAATAAAGAGATATTATTAAAAAAGATTTACATTGATAAAAGGCTAGCATATATGTTGACTAAGGTGATGACTCGTGACAAGCCTTAGTCTTACACCAAGATGGTGGGACGGAGTACCGGTTGAGCAATGTATGTGTGGAGGTTTGAGGGAGAGATTGTTGGTTATCCAACCTAAGTGGGTTTATAAAATTAAAAAAAAAAAAATGTCTGTTGTCATCAATATAATTAAATTGATGGGAACATGTTTTTTTCTACACATTTATGTACATATAGAGAAGTTGAAAAGAGGCAGAAAAACTAACTCTCACACGCGCAGACAGAGAAAGAGTAAAAGTAAAAAAAGATTTTTTATTTCTTATGCGCACGAAAAATAAAAGTAATTGTTTGCTTTTGTTTCTCAACATAGAAAACAAGACAAGAAATTAAGAAGAAAGATTTATTCTCTCTTTCTGGCACAAGAACCTAGAAAAAGAGTGTACAAAATGTGGTAACTTTTCTTCTAGTGTTTTGAATCAATTTTTTTTTTTTTTTTTTTGATGTAATCATTCCAGAGAAATTGAGATTTGTTAAAGAAGAATTTACGTATTTTTTTTTTAAATATTATACACTTAATTTATGGGATTGTAGATTTGATCCGAAATTTAGTATGCAATTTTTTTTTTTATATTAAAAAGTTTTTCATGGAAATTTTATATTTTTATTTTTGTGATTGTTTCTTTGTTTGGATATTGATTTACGTATTTATTAATTGGCTTGAAAGTATTAATTGAAATTTATAAATTAATTTTGTAATTACTTTAATTTGCACAAATAATATTAAAATATTTTGAAAGACCCATCATAAGCAAGAGTTCTTCCCAAATTATTATTAGTCCAAACCTTTTCTAAAAAATGATACAAATAATGGAAGTTAAATTTAGTCAGAGAAGATGAAAACAGAAAGCCACACCTCAGGCCGAGTATTAGGTGGGGTCAGAGAAAATGAAAATGAAAGAAACCACATAATTATGGAAATGGGTCGGCAATGCTTAACCACTCCCCACTTCCCACATTTCCCACATATGTATATATACATATTGTCTAATCTCTTCTTTTCTTCATCATCTTCGTCACAACACTGAAACAAATCAGCTTCACTTGAATATTTCTCAAAAAATCCCTGTATTCTTCTGCAATGGCTAAAGACATCGAGGTAGGCGGAGAGTTCCAAGCCAAAGATTACCATGACCCACCTCCCGCTCCATTGATTGACCCTGAAGAGCTCACTAAATGGTCTTTTTACAGAGCCTTAACAGCCGAATTTGTTGCCACTCTCCTATTCTTGTACATCACTGTGTTGACAGTCATTGGCTACAAAAGCCAGACTGACAAAAATCAAGGCGGCGACGATCGTGGTGGTGTTGGCATTCTTGGTATTGCTTGGGCTTTTGGTGGCATGATTTTCATTCTCGTTTACTGCACTGCCGGCATTTCAGGTGAAATTATTTTATTCTAATATGCAATTTGTGATCAAAAGATTTTGAAATTTATTTGATTTTAATTGATGGTTGCAATTATGAGCAGGAGGTCACATCAACCCAGCTGTTACTTTCGGCTTGTTCTTGGCTAGGAAGGTGTCCCTGGTCCGAGCCGTATTGTACATGGTGGCTCAGTGTTTAGGAGCCATTTGTGGATGTGGGTTGGTGAAGGCTTTCCAAAAGGCTTGTTACAACAGATACGGCGGTGGAGCTAACCAGCTTGCTCTTGGCTACAGCACTGGCACAGGATTGGGTGCTGAGATTATTGGGACATTCGTTCTTGTTTATACTGTTTTTTCTGCCACTGATCCCAAGAGAAATGCAAGGGATTCCCATGTTCCTGTAAGTTCATTAATTAATTTTACCAGTTAAAATGAATATAATTTTTGGGTTTTAACTGTGTTTATGTTAAAAAAAAAAAAAAAAAAAAAAAGGTATTGGCACCATTGCCAATCGGATTTGCTGTGTTCATGGTGCATTTGGCAACCATTCCAGTAACTGGTACTGGCATTAACCCAGCAAGAAGCTTCGGAGCTGCTGTAATCTTCAACCAGGACAAGCCATGGGATGACCATGTATGTCCTCCTCTCTCTCTCTCTCTCTATAAATATATACACACTCACACACACATATATCTATCTTATCTATCTTTTCTAAAAAAAATGGATTCCGATAAATACCCATTAATTTCTTCAAAAACATTTCAGTGGATATTCTGGGTTGGACCTTTCATCGGTGCCGCAATTGCTGCATTCTATCACCAGTTCGTGCTGAGGGCATCTGGGTCTAAATCTCTTGGATCCTTGAGGAGCTCCTCCAACATATAAATTTTCTTCAAAATATTTCAACCAAAATGGAGGAAACTTATAAATCTTGACAAGAGAGAGAGCTTTTGGAATCTGTAAAATATATATCAAGATGAAGTCAATGTGTGTGTTTTCTTCTCTATACTGGGCACTTAAATTTTAAATGTGCGCCCAAATCCTCAATCTGTTATTTTCTCCTCTTCTCTTCTTTTAATTTCTGTATGTCCTGTAATGATCTACAATAATAATTTGGAAGAAAGTGTTATCTGATATTATTTTCTCTCATTATCTTTTCCTCCTACTTCATCAAATGTTGATCTTTGAATCTTAAAGCATTTGTATATGTATATGTATATGTATATGTATATGACAGTGATTATTATCAAATGACGTAAAGTCAATCCTTCTGGACAAATCCGTAAATTTCTATTTTGTATTTCATTGAAAGTCCATATTAGGAGGATACACTTCTATACTCCATAAATCAAAAATATGAATTCACTTTTAAATTTTTTCAGACTTTTACCTTTCTCCAAAATTTTCTTCTCAACCTGCCAATTATATACATCTCCAACTCAGTCCCATTCTTCCTCTATAAAACTAAGTATTATAGAAGATAGAGATGACAATTCATGCATTACAATTCTGAATTCCTTCTACTATTTCTACGACTAAAAAAATTAACTAGTAATGGAAGAGATACGGTTTAAGCAATTGTACATAATTTTTTTACGTCATAGAGACTATACCTATGGAGATAAAAGGTAATACAAGAATTTGCAAGAAACTAATTCAAAAAATTCAAGAGTTCTTTTCAAGTAGGATGGTGGCTGTTTGGATATTAGTACACTGAGAAGTCCAACAACTGAAGTTCATCTTTCTTTGGATAACTGTCGGAGTGATTTTCTCGAGAATGAAAGTTTGCAAGAATACACTTCAAAATCAAGCATAATCTTTGGAGAGACTAAACAAAAGCTTCCAACTGGTATGAATAGTTCTGAACTCAATCTAGAGTATTCTTACCAAGCCTCTCTAATGCTAAAAGAGAGAAAAAGTTCCGACCTTATTCATAGTGTAGTGTTAGTGGATGGTTCTAAGATCCAGCTTTTTTTTATCAACAATATAGAAATAGAAGGAGAATTTGATATATGAGAAACTACAAATAGAAATAAAACCAACTATATTAATTACGATTCTTATTCAAAGCTAGTTAAAAAAATTAATTAGATGAAGAAATATATAACTGCAAATAGTAGATTAATTATAAGTGAATTAAATAAAGAGAACCTCTTTTCCTTTTGTATTTTCTTTATCTTGTTAACATATGGATCAGAGCTATACTGTTGAGATGTAGTAGAATAATTAAAGCCCTTATCCCTCGTAACCATTATTGAGTGAGTGATTATTTGTAAAGGTGAGCGTTATTTGATTCGAATTGGAAAATTAGATGGAATTAGATCGAATAATATTTGGTTTAGTCTTCAATCTAGGAATTTATGGACCAAAACTTTTAGTCAATTACAATATGTAAGTTAGTCTAATTTAGTCCAGACAAGTTAATAATATTTGAATTATCGAAATTAATATATATGTAATTTCATCTTTATTTCTTTTAAAAAACTAATAATTCTATCATCTCTAAATCAGAATAGAGATCCATAATATAGTTTATGTAAAATTTATTAACTAGTTTGCTTTAATTGTTGATTGATTAAGATATTTATAAGCAAATGCAATAAGAAAATCGCTTAAGTTAATTTGATGATTTGTAGAATTATTTCCAAATATTTTCTACATCTATATGGACATACTCCGAAAAAATATATATAACATTAATATAAATATCAATAATAATTTAAATATCTGGTTGATTAAAATTTTATAGAAATTATGTGCAAAATCATTAATTACATTATTCTGTTTAGAAATAAATTAATAAATTAATTTGAACATATTTTAGTTTAATCACTAGTTTGAAAAAGTTAAACATGATTTTTATATTTATCAAAGTGATAAACCTAAAATTTTACAACCTTGTATTTTTACATCTGCTAAACCAAATTTTGATGAACTGGACTCTATGTAAATATCTATATTTCAAGAGAGTCTTGATATAGAAGTGTCTAAAATGTTAAGGACCAATCTTAAGTTGAATTCATGAGGCTTTTGTCTAAGCAAAAGTATTCTAATATTTATTGATATATGCATATTATTCCAACTTAAAAGGAATGTTTATCTTCTTTAAGACCCCATCAAAATTTTATGGCAATCTTGTCAACACCTTTGCGAAATTCCTAAGGTAGAAAGAAATTAGATATGAATAAGTAGGTAGCTCATTAATAACAAATCTTATAAACATGACTCACTTAATATAAGAAAGTAACTAACTTTTTCGAATAAATTAGCTTTATTTTATTATTTAAGAATTTAAAATTCATTGTTCTTCATTTGAACACTTGTAAGTAGCTTCAAGTATTTTGTTTCTTTTCCTGAAACCAACAAGATTAGCTTTGATGTCTTTCTTGGTTTTCTACTATCATACATCATTGTATAAAACATAGATACTTATTTTTATTATGAGTTGTTCTAGACATATTACAGTAGGTTGTAATGATTTCCAAGCACGTTTAACCTTTTCTTCATTAACTTTACAAAAATAAAAAAATAAAAAAAATCATCAACACATAAATAAATGCTAGATGTAAGAGCTTTTAGGGTAATCTTATACATTTATCTTTCTTTAATTTTGTGATTCAAATTGAATTCTTGAAAATGCCTTAATGAATAGGAAAAATAGATACGAGATAGTGGATATCTATCAGACGTTGATCCTTGATAGTCATGGTGCATGCTTCTAGATCTTAAATGCACCTTCAGTGGCACAAAAGATGGATAAAAACTATTTGATGCATAATCTTAATGTGTGATACAACGATGTCGAGCATAGGTATACAACACTAGTTGTGCATGAGTTTAGATAGTTATGACGCACTTGCAAATAGATGCAGGCAAGTAAGTAGGGTACATATACACTTGTGCGTGCAAGCCTTTGAAATGCCAAAGTGTGTGGGTGTGCGAGACAGTGATGCACTATTGACGACATTGACTACACATGACATAAGGGTGATGAGTGGGCATGCTGAGAGATACTATGATAGTTGAACAACAACATGTTTTGTGGTTTATGAGTGCTCCACTAGAAGCAAATACAGGTGAGAGCATAACATGTTGTCAATGCAAGCAAACACGATGAGTGATGGCGGACACTAAGTGACACACAGTAGGTGAAGGGCATAAATGGGTGTGCGCCACTTCAGTGCAGGGCCGCAAGTAGCTGCAGGCATCTATTGCACATAACACATACGTAAAGTAAGGGTTGTTAGTGCTCTATGGACACATATTGTGCAAAACACACATGGTGTGTGCAACAGTTAACCAACGTGCACATATGGGAATCTATATTCAACCAAAACAAATAAATGGCATG